TAAAAATTAGCAAGAACCTGTCTATAAGTCACTTTTCATAAGGTGCTTTTAAAATTTTCCTTGAATCTTTGGGAAGTTCCAAACCTTGATTTGGCAATATTTCAAGAAGATCATTAACTAATGTACTGGCTCCATTATAAAATAGCATAATGTTGTCGAGTAAAGACATTGAATTCAAAGAATTATCAGGATAATTGTTCCATGTATCATTAACAGGTTTTCCTATTGAAAAATTCGATTCTGCATGAGATGTCTAAATCTTTGAAATTGTTAGAACTTGGTTATTGATATAGCAATACTATACTAATAGTATATCATGTTTATATATACATAGTATAGCATATATTCAGTTTTAAACCGTTTCTTCTATTATCTGTAAAAAATTCATTACCTGTATCAATATTACCACAATTTTCAATTGATAATAAAAACAAAAATTAGATGGAACGTGTCTATTAGTTGTTGTAAAAAGAATTCTTTTGTAATTGAAAAAAAACTTTATTAAAAATGCGTTACTTGAAAATTTTGAGAAGTCTTAGCGCTTGCGTGATTTAACTGATTTTTTTTAATTTAATAAAGCATTCTGGATATTTTTTGGACGAAAAAATTATTGGACGCGAAAAAGACGTTCAAAAGACCTTTAGAATTTTAATGGGACGGACGGACGCGATTTGAACGTCCTAAGGACGTCTTTTTTACGTCCTGTGCCCACTGGGAGTGTTTGGAGTCTGCAGAAATACTCCTTGCGAACCACTTTTACGTGCACTCGGTGCTTTAAATGTGTATAAACTCAATTTACACCAAGTTTTATTGTTTATGTTTAAAACAAAAATGGGATTGTCCCCAATAATTTTTCAAACCTATTTTAATAAAAATAATCATAAATATTCAACAAAGTTTTCTGATAACAACTTTGTTCTTCTCAAGTATAATTTAAAATTAACCTTCTATTCAATTAAATATCGCGGACCTTATCTGTGGAAAAAATTCCCAGAGATTGTCAACAAAAACAAGACTACATTAGAACAATTTAAAAATGAATCAAAACAATTATTACTATTCAGGGATCTTAATTTATCTGACTTCAAATGTTTCTTTTAAAATTTAATCAAATAAAAACAAATTTATTTATATCAATCAAATTTAAGTAATGATGTTAAAAATTCATCTTGTGATAATGTTAATTATGAAATTTTATTCTTATTTAAAACTTTTTGTTTAAATGATTTTAAAACATTTTAGCGGTTGCTAGCATTTCGACAATTCTTAGTTATTTGCTATTTTGAATTTCTTAATTTTCTCAGTTATTTTCTGTTTTAATTCTGACCTATATTTTATATATTTATATTTTATACATTTGTATGTTACGGTTATGTAGAGTTTTTTTTTATGTAGAGTTTTTTTTTTTATATGTGGGGCTCGGCGATAAGGCAAAATGTGCCTTCTTCTTGTTCCTTCCATTAATTTTGATATATGTATATGCAATGTACACATTCTTTAACGGCGAAATAAATTACACTTAAAAAAAAAATTACACTTTATTATATATATATATATATATATTATATATATATATATATATATATATATATATATATATATATATATATATATATATATATATATATATATATATATATATATATATATGTATGTATATATATATATACATATATATATATATATATATATATATATATATATATATATATATATATATATATATATATATATATATATATATATATGTATATATATATACATAAAAATTATATATATATATATACATATATATATACATATATACATATACATATATATATATATATATATACATATATATATATGTATATATATATATACATGTATATATATATATACATATATATATATATATATACATATATACATATACATATATATATACATAAAAATTTAAGTATTAAATATCGAATTTTTATGAAAATTAAATAAAAACCTCCATAAAGAGGAGATTTCATATATATATATATATATATATATATATATATATATATATATATATATATGAAATCTCCTCTTTATGGAGGTTTTTATTTAATTTTCATAAAAATTCGATATTTAATACTTAAATTTTTATACTTAAATGTGTAGAACTAAAAATGTAAAAACTATTAAATGTAAAATGTTTTTAGTCATTCTAACAATTTATTGAAAATGCTCACACAGCACGTGTTTTCTTCTCTTAATTACACAATATTGCGCGCGCATCTAACTTGCAAAAACGAAAGTCGTGACCAATAAATTACGTGAAGGTAATAATGTATTTTGGTTGCTGCTACACAAGAGATAGTTCCTTTAATTTAAAGTTTTAAAGTAAAAGAATTACTGCACTCTCAATAATTTTGTTTAAAAAAAATGTTTTCAAGTTTAAGAGAGAGAGGAATGAGTGTGAAGCCAAATTCAAAATTTGCCCAGCTGGATCATTCATTTATGTTTCTCCTAAAGATAAACAAATTACTATATGCTATTTTTTATTTATCTAATTCATCTTACAATCATAATTAAGCCAAGAATATGTAAGTTATGTAACCTTTGACCTGTTAATAGTCTCAATAACAAGAGTTAAAAGCTTTAAGTTGGATGAAACTTAACAGTGTCTCTATTTGGGATCAAGTTGAAGACTTAATTGCAAAAAAAAGCCCCTTTTTTAATGTTAATAAACCATTGAGCCATGACCAATTTTCAAACTTATAAGTTCAAACTTATAAGTAAGTATTTTCAAACTTATAAGTAAGAACAGATCGTTTTTATACCGTTATAAAAACGTTAAAAACCGTTTTGATAGGTTTTTTAAAAACGTTCTGTGCTTACTGAGTATCTTATTGTGGTTACAACCCTCTCTAAACTCTTTAACTCCTAAACACGAATCTTTATAAACAAGGCCGCTGCGCGGAGAAACAAGTTTTTTCATTTGAGTATGAACTTCAAAGTTTAATTGAAACTTCAGTTACTGCCTCTCATTCTCTAGCCTTCTTTTTTCCATTTATCATTGACATTTTTAATTATATAGAATAGTACTTTCAAATTTAAAATATATAAATACATATAGATTTAACGTGTAACTTTTTTTTTCTATGACAATTTTAAATTATATTTGAAAATCTTTTTCAAAATAATTTGAAAAATTCTCATTATAAATTATTAAATAACAATATATAATCAGAAACCAGACCAGAAAAAGCTTAAATAATTTTTTTTTCTTAAATGATAGACTGACTGCCCTTACCAAACCCTCTGTTGATGTAGCAGCACTCCGTTGCGGGTCAGGCTACAAGATAGTCGATGTAGCAACACTCCCTTGTAGCAGCAGGCTATAAAATAGTCAATGTAGCAACTCTCCGTGCATGTCTTAAAAATACATTTTAGTAAAACAAAACCACTATTAATTATAAAAAGCTTTTGAGTCATTATTATTGTGTTTTTTAAAAAAACTTTAAAACTTAATGTACTTCCGCATTAATTTAATTACTTTAACTTTTCGACGACAATAAAATGTAGCTTAATTGTAATTGTTTAGCAGTGGAAGCTATTAAAGTTCCACCAGTTATATGGAACCATCAGGCCGTAATAATCTTAAGAGAAGGAAGAAATATTTTATATAAGTGCAAAGAAGTGCTAGATAAATTATAATATTTGGACAGATGTCTAGAATTGAGAGTTGGTGTTTAAAAGAAGAGTGCTATTCAGTATTTAAGTTTGAGTTAAGTGAGTGTTGTTTATGTTAGATTTAAGTAAGTGTTGTTGCGATGTTCTGTAAGTTATTGTGTTTTGTGCTTGCACTGTTCTAAACGTTAAAGTTTTATGTGTCATTTAATGTCTTTATTGTTTTGATTCTGTGTGTTCGTAAATAATTTGATTCTCAGTATCGCTCAGTTCCAATCCTATTATGTTCTCTTTATATATCAGGTTCACTAGTGGAACATATTTGGCCGTAAATGTCTTAGATAAAGGAAGTGATTGATTATATTAGAAAAAATTATAATTTTTACCTAATATTATTTTTATTTACTAAGAAGTCACTGATTGCGTTTATTGCAACAATTAAAATTAATGACTTCTGAGCGAAAAAAACTCGCTCGAAAAATTATGTTTTTCCTAACTTAAACTTTAAGTTAAAGTTTAAAAAACGCGTTGTCTTCTAAAACGTAAAAGGTAAAAGTTGACGTCGTTGGTAAAATAATTCGTTGAAACATTTTTGAAAAATTTAAATTTGTAAAGATATACTTATTTAAAAAATAAAATTATTTATTGTATTTAATTATTAAAACTACCTTAATAACATAATATAATATTTTCTTTGATAATTTAAATAAAATGTAGTTATTGTAAACAATCTTTGGAAGTAATTTGTCACTTGATTCAAAAACGTTTCGTCTAATCAAATCATTCATGTTTAATCAAAATATCATATCATAATATAAACAACATTTCAAAGTGTATATTGCAAATATAATTATGAATATAATATAAATAATTTTTTAACATTTAGTTATATTTATGTTTAGAATTTACATATAACTACTTTGTAAAAATTGTATAGTTATTTATAAGATTTGTTTTTAACTTTTTTTAACAAGATGGCAAACAAAGGGAAAAGCAATCCAGTTTGGGAATACTTCAAATTAAAGGATGGGGACAGCTCAAAACCCCAGTGCTTGCTGTGTCCCATCATCTTGTCACGTGGTAAAGCTTGTGAACCTTAAAAGTTTTCAACTTAGTCCATGCTAATGCATCTTCGTTCAAAACAACCTAATGAATACGACGAAATGCAAAAAAAAAAAATTGCTGACTCACAGAAAAAAGCCGAAACCGTAGCACTGTCAAATGCTAAACCTGGTGCAACTGCCACAACCAGTAAAGCCGTGGTCCAGTACACAATTCCAGAACATGTTGCACGCATGAAAATATAGGATTTCAATAGCAGCTCATCAATGAGAATTAATCGCGCCATTGCTAAGATGATTATAACAGATATGGAACCGATTCAAGTTTCTCAGAAGACAGACTTTGTTGAACTGATGAGAGTTTTAGAGAGGCGGTACACTGTTCCATCACGAAAATATTTTGCAGAGCGATTAATTCCTGAAATAAACGATGAAGTGTGCGCTGAACTGTTAGTAATGCTAGATCTAGCATCTACTCCGTTTCTGTCATTTACCACTGATACATGGACAGCAGGGAATACTGTACAATCATTCATGGGCTTAACTGCCCACTGGCTGACTGAGCACTTTGAAAACATGAGCTTTGTGTTAGATTGTATTCTATTCGTTGGACATCATACTGCCCCTGCACTGATGACTGCCTTTCAGCAGTTGCTTGACAAATGGAACATTGACGTTGGACATTGTCATATCATACTTCGAGACAATGCGGCAAACATAACAAAATTTTTCCATGATGGCAACATAGAAAGCTTCGGGTACTTTGCACATACTACTCAGTTATGTGTGCATGATGGCTTGCTCAGCCAGCCGGCAGTATCCAATATAATAAGTATTGGAAAGAAATTAGTTGGTCATTTTAAGCATTCTTCGTCTGCGACTGGTCGGTTCAAGGAGCTGCAGGCTGAACTTTTTTTACCTGACCACCAGCTTATACAAGACATTAGTAAAAGATGGAACTCAACGTTTTACATGCTGTGTCGACTATGTGAACAGCGTCGTGCATTAACTGTCTACTGTTCAGAAGTAGAAGGAACTTCTTGTTCAACTGCATATCAATGGTCTGTAGCTGAGAATGCAGTATGTGTGCTGGCTTCAATTGAAGAGGCTACTCGTGAAGTTAGCTTTGAAACAGCACATATATCACTAGTTATCCCTATTCTAACAGCTCTGCGGAACTTATTGAATAAGAAAGGCAATGATGCAGGTGTAAAGACTATGAAGTCAACTCTACTTAAGTCATTGGATGAGCGTTTTAAAGACATTGAGAAGAAACCTCTTTATACAGAGGCAACAATGGTTGATCCAAGATTTAAAACAAAATTCTTTTCATCACAAGCAACACTAACAGCTGCAAAAGCAGCGGTTCTCCTTGCATTTAATAAAATTACATTGCAGAAGGTATCGATTCAAGATGAAAGTCAATCTGAGCATGCCGAGCAGCAGATTGACAAAATTGAAGAAGTTCCAGCAAAACAAGCTCGACTGGATAATTTTTCTACATCATCATTACTCTGGCGATGTATTGATGAAATTATTTAGTCTACGTCAGCTGGTGGCACAGCACACGAACAACAATTACCAACAGGCATTGATACCTAGCTAAGCCAGTATGGCAGAAAAAGAAATAGATAGACACGCTGATCCACTAGAGTGGTGGAGTGACAACATGCAACGATTGCCAATTCTGGCAACAGTAGCTCGAGTTTATTTGGGTGCCCCACCGACAAGTGTACCATCAGAACGTGTGTTCTGATGGTACACTTGTCGGTGGGGCACCCAAATTGTTGCCAGAGCTGGCAATCGTTGCAGGTTGTCAATCCACCACTCTAGTAGATCATGCTTTTATGGTCAACAATGTTGACCATTTTCAATGTCATGTAAAGATGTTCCGGACTTCAGCTCATGTAATTTTGTTTCAAAATCTGGCACCGTATTCGGCTTAGGCACGGACTTGTCGGTAAAAATCCAGCAAATCCGGCCCCGGCCGGATTTGGAAAAAATTAAATCCGGTACAGCCCTTGTACCGGATATATATATATATATATATATATATATATATATATATATATATATATATATATATATATATATATCCGGTACAGCCTTTTATATATATCCGGTACAGCCCTTGTACCGGATATATATATATATGTATATATATATATATATATATATATATATATATATATATATATATATATATATATATATATATATATATATATATATATATATATATATATATATATATTAGGGGTAGTCATTTTGAAGAAATTTTTGAAATCGAAGTACATACCCAGCTAAAGTTGGAGCAAATATGCTATAGGTCAATCGGGTGACTTTTAAGTCCCCCTCAAGACTAAAGTTGTTAGGAAATTGAACTTGAAAAAAGGAAAAATAGGGTGTGTTCAGAGTGTTTGAGGGGGATTTAAATGAAAAAATTATTTCAATTTTTTTTGTTTGTTTTGTTATTTGTTATCTATATTTTCATTTTAAAAGGGTATGTCATCATGTTTTTTACATATTCTTGGTTAAAACGATATTTACGAAAGGAAAAAATAAAAATTTTATGTTACGCAAGAGGTTATGAAAATCGGCAACGATAAAAAAATTCTTATAAAATAATGCAGAAGAAAATGTGCTGAAGATCCTGCACTGTATTTTTAAGACACTAAAAGTTTTTATAAAGAAATTGTACGTGAAATTGCGTTACATTATTTTATTTTTGTAAATAACTTTCGTATTTACTTGATTGTTATTAATTGAATTACAATATAAAGTAAAATTGTATTGAAGTTTTTAATTAATTACAGACCATTAAATATATTTAGATTGAATACAAAAATGGAAAAAAAAAATTGTAAAAGATATTGGGAAGAGGAAGTTTCTCAGATCAAGCAAAAACTTTTTATCATAAATGAGGCTAAACCAGCTATTACATGTACATATCTAATTTAAAAAAATTGTTTTGAATTTTAAATTTTTTGTTAAAAATTAAAATATTGATTTTTTTTTTTCTTAAGGTCTTCAACTCCATACTGGAATGGATGTTCTTCAACACATTATCTACAGAAGATCGCTACTTCCTCATAATGTTAAGAAGTCAGCAATTTTATCATGCCCTCCTTACAAGATTCAGGGTTACAAGAGATGTGAAGTAGATGATTGTGAATGCATTTTAGGCTTAATTAAAAGACCATGGCTTAAAGCGGGATTTCAAGTAATGTCAGATAAAAGTATTATCAAGAACCTTATGAAGATGGACAAGAAGTATTCAGATTTGAGCTGTTTTGGATTGGTTCTACAGATTTAAAGAACCAAATTAGGAAGGATAAAAAACGCTCAGATAAAGATAAGCACGATGATTTAACTTTTTTGGAAGACCAGGAAGGACCGAGATATTTTAGTTCGGGATCAGAAGATAGAAAATTTAGCAAAAAGGTTTTGTGATGTTTTTATTGGGTTAATTTGACGTTTTTTATTCAAATTTGCTAATTTAACATTATTTGTTAATACACATACACTATGTTAAAACAAATTTTAGGTTTCTGAAGGTGTGAGGAAGAGGACAAGGCTAGAAGACGAATCTCCTAAGATTGATGCTACCTCAGAATTAGACTTGAGTTTCACTGACACTAGCGCTGATTCTGATTCACAATTTGAACCCAAAGTTTGGCATCATAGAAGAGCAGATGATTGCAACATTACTGCCAAAGTCCCTAAGAATATTTTTGATGGAAATGTATCTATCATAGCTACAGCAAATGATATCTCCCCCAATGTCTTACAAAAAGTAACTCGAGCAATTCTTCAAGATTGTGGAGTTGATATCGCAAAATGCAAAGCCAGTGCTTCAACAGCATTAAGGAAGAAGAAAAAAACTGCCAAGGATACTGCAGAAATTGCTAAATTAGATATAAAGAAGGCCGTGGAAAAAAACCGTTATCCCTGTATAATTCATTTTGAAGGAAAGACTTTGTTTGAAATAAATCAGGGAAAAAGACTGAAGAATGAAAGATTAGCTGTGCTCGTTAATATTGAGGGGGTGTCGCATCTTCTTGGAATACCTGCCTTGCCGTCTTCTTCAGGTGAAAATATGTATATAGGAATCATGAAAATACTAGAAGAATATGACCTCATTTCAAAAGTATGCGGAGTATGCTTTGATACAACTTCAAGTAATACTGGTTCTAAGAAAGGATCACTTACTAGGATTGCAAGAGAGGTTGACAAATACCTTCTTCTACTAGCATGTAGGCATCATACCATTGAGCTTAGAATGGTTCATTTCTGTGAAGCAGTGATAAAAGAGAATAGCGTAGGGCCTGAAAATCCTTTATTCGTAAAGTTTAAACATATATTTGAGAACCCTAACTTCAAATACGACGAAAATAACCTGACCTCTCTTGATTGGAAAACCGTGGAAGGAACAGTTTTGAAGGAAGCTGCAAGGAAAACTTTAGATTACTGTGAGACCTATATTACTAAAAAATGCAATATGAGAAATGACCGAAGAGAGTTGGCTCAGCTAACCATGCAGTATTTATCCCCTTCTGCACATTTTAAATTAAAGAAAACTGGAGCTGTTCATCATGCTAGGTTTTTAGAGTTTATACTACCTTAAACTTCAGCTTTTGTGCAAGCAACTGACATTTGTGCAAGAAAATGATAATCTACGCGAAGATTTAAAACTCATCTGCGAGTTCATAGTATGTTTTTACACAAGGTGGTACCTTCAAGCACATAAAGCAATTCAATCTCCTGCGTCTGATCTTGATGCAATCTTTCAGATGAAAGAGTATAAGAAAGTTTGCTCCAATCCGGTGGCAGTAGACGCAGTGTTAATATCTCTTTATAAGCATACATGGTATCTTGATTCAACGATTATTCCCTTGGCTCTTTTGGATAAAAATATTTCAATGGATAAAAAAACAGCCATTGCAGATGCTTTGCTTTCCTTCCAAATGCCAGATCCAGATTTTTTTAAACATTGAAGCAAAGATCGAATAGACGAGATTAATATCATAAATAATATGAAGGTACCAACCCTCTCTCTTTTGGTTAATGAGTTTTCATATTTAATTTTTTCAATGATAGGGTTGGATAATCAGAGAGTGAGAGACTGGTTGTCACTTCCACCCCAATATTTTCACACCCAGTCCTCGTTTAAGAATTTTGAAAACTTTGCCAAAATGTTAATTGTTGTCAATGATCATTCTGAACGAGCAATCGGAATGATGCAGCAGTTTGTACAAAGATTCGAAAATGAGGATGACAAGCAGAACAGACTTTTAACTGTCGACAAAGTAAGGTCAACTTTCAAGGTTTTTGGTGTGGGAAAAAGTAATAATACAAAAAAAACATCAGAAAGCCTGATGTCACTCTCTAAATTAAAGAAAAGGAAATTGTAGACTTAGGAAATTGTTATTCATTTTAAAATACTTATTTCAATTAATGCATAATTTTTGTCTTGATAGTATTTGTAAAGATTTTAATTAAATGGTAAATTACTTGTTTAGTTCAAAATAGTTTGTTTTTTTGGTTGATTTAAGCGGGAATTTTTACGTCTGTCCATCTGAATGAACTTTAAGTATGAAAATACATAATTTACTGATTTCATAACCACTTGCGTAAAACTTTTCATTTTTTGATTTCTTAAATATCGTTTTAACCAAGAATATGTAAAAAACATGATGACATACCCTTTTAAAATGAAAATATAAATATCAAATAACAACAAAAAAAAAAATGGAAATAATTTTTTCATTTAAATCCCCCTCAAACACCCTGAACATCCTGAACACCTATTTTTCCTTTTTTGAAGTACAATTTCTTAACAACTGAGGGGGACTTAAAAGTCACCCGATTGACCTAAAAAAAATTTTGACAAAGTTTTAGCATATTTGCTCCAACTTTAGCTGGGTATGTACTTCGATTTCAAAAATTCCCTAAAAATGACTACTCCTAATATATATATATATATATATATATATATATATATATATATATATATATATATATATATATATATATATATATATATATATATATATATATATATATATATATATATATTTATATATATATATATATATATATATATATATATATATATATATATATATATAAAATACAGCATGACTAGGTTATAGATATAGAAATCAATCACTTTTACCTATTATGATAGGAAGATTACTTGGGCTAATACTCCTTTTCCCTCTTTTTCCATCCTGGCTATATAAAGACCAAACTGAACTCGGTACCAGGGCTAACAACATATTAGAAAGCTTGCCAGAGAGATTTTGTGATGCAAGTGTGACATTGGACAAAGATGTAATCTTTAATTTAAATACATAGGCACAATATTAGTTTAAATTGGAAATAGAAACTAACTGCATACATTTAGCTAAAACTATAGCTTCAAATAAAAATTATTTTAAATTAAAGTTACCAGGGACTGACGTTCACAATCATTTAATTTCAGCCAATAATTAAGGTGACTATCCAGCTCGTCTGCTGTTGTGCTGAATTTTAAAGCTTCCATTGGCGCATTAACAGCAGATTTGGTGTTGCTTAACCAACCACCATGCCCATGAGGGTTTTTGGGTGTCCTCAATCCGAATGAGACTGGTGAATATTTCTTGAAACCACGCAACAATAATAAAATAAAATCATATTAAATTTAGGGACTACTTCACTATAAAAAAAACATATTAGGAAAAAAACATTTTGGTTAATGCTAACTAACCACTGTTGTGGTTTATGCTAACTATCAAATTATCATAAAAACTTACGACGCATAGCTGTATTTGAAATTGGTAAATCGGATTTCTCAATTTCATTATCCTTCGAACTTGGAGTCTTTTTTCGAGCTTTAAAGCAAGTTTGAACTGATGCAGATGATCCAAAACATTGGGATGAAGTTTCAATTAGTGGCAGTGTTGGACGAGGTGGACTTTGAGATAAAAACAAAGAAGAAGGTTGTGATGATGTTGAATATAATGGTGATGGTGTAGTTGGAAGTAAATGAAGAAAGAAACATCTTTAATAAATTTACCATCGTTAAATAACTAATATTTTGTATGATATATAAAAAATTAACCATTTTTAAATTTTCATAGTTAATAGTTAAACGCAAAAATAGTAATTAGAATTACAGCACCTAAATAAAGCATAAGTAAATAAATAAAAAACAAATTGTTTGAAAAACTAATATTATTAAGATAATATAATTTAACTTTTACAAGTATGCAAAATTGGAGCAAAATTATTTTTGTAGGAAAATAGTTTACAATAAACTAAATTATTAGGAACTTTAGTTAAAGATTTGGAAAAATGCGTTCCTTTATATATATCCAACGCAGAGGATTTTAAGCGATAATCGTACGCATTAGGTTGTTCTAATAAGTAACATGCCTTCAACCATATATCATCATTTTGATTGGTATTATAAATACTACGTATCTTGACAATCTTTTTGTCCAAAAGCATAACATAACAATTTGGTTTTTTATTTGGCAACAAAAATGTTTTTAAATAGCATTTAGCGTAAGATGAAATCTTTTTAGTTTCGTTAAAAAAATACACGATGATAATTTGCAAAAATTTAGAGGTTTTAAAACAATTGGTTTTAGCTGCTTTAAATCTTAACCCCTACTAAGCACTTTATTTACAGCTTGTTGCAATGGAAGATTCGGCGATGTAAGCAATTGTCTTATAAATCGCATAAAATTTTCCGATTGAAAACAGCTAAAATTATCAACACACCCAAATGTTTTACAGTCATCAACAATTTGAAGCATACAATGAACATTCATAGTGATAAATTCACAACCAAAAAGAAGTGCTGAGTTTGTAATAAATGTTTTGACTAGGTCTTTACATTAACTGTTTAAATAAATGCTCCAAATTGGATGACAAATGATTCTAAATATTGTTGATAACAACAAAAAATTATGGAAATATTCTTTATGCACATGACGTTGCAATAAAAACGGTCCAAGATTGAAACAAAAATATTGCTTTTCACATATTAAGATGATTCATACTACAAGAGTTTTTAGAAGTTGGTGTATGAAACATTGGAAACGTTAATATAGAAACCCAATAGAGAGCCTCTTTAAAAAAGGGTCAATAATATAACTAAATAAGTTCAATTGCCAGTTCGTAGTTTTCATACCGTTTTTATTTTAGTAATTTGTTACTTTTATTTTGTTTATCAATTGTTTCTACATTTTTTCAGTATTTATTGTAAATTGTTGTCTCGTTATGTTTATTTGTTCGCATTAACTTTAAATATATTTTCTAAGTTAGGCATTGACACATAAATGCATATTTTTTAGGCTTTAATTTTCCCATGTCGTTTACACATTTTCCAAATAACTATTCTTTTTTTTGAGTTTTTTATCCCCCATTTTTTAGCATTATTTAGAGCTTTTTAACTTAAGATCATCCGTTTCCATTACTTTTTTATATGTGGCTCAATGCGCTTAAGTTCTATCTGCCCTCTCCATTCTGATCTACTACATTAAGAGATCGTCCGTAGAGCACGTACGCTTGGATGCGGTAGAGGAAGTCTGCAAATGTCGTTAATAAGGTGGTGGGCAGGGGTGAATTATAAAAGAAATAAGGCACTAAATTAAAAAAAACATCATAAAATGTTTTAACCTACCTAGGTTAAAAGCGTAGGTTCTTTTATTAAGGTGGAGGATACTAAAAAAAAGCGTATATCAAAATCCGGGGGAGCAAGGTACATCTCAATATTTTCTGAAAGCAAAAAAATTCTAATCGAACGAGGAATACAAAAAAAAATGACAAAAAAAAGTCAAAACTGACTCACAAAGAAAACGAAGTTGGCTTAGCTTCACCACCAACTCCACCAACAACACTGAATACATAACTTCTTCATTTACTTCCAACTACACCATCACCATTATATTCAACATCATCACAACCTTCTTCTTTGTTTTTATCTCAAAGTCCACCTCGTCCAACACTGCCACTAATTGAAACTTCATCCCAATGTTTTGGATCATCTGCATCAGTTCAAACTTGCTTTAAAGCTCGAAAAAAGACTCCAAGTTCGAAGGATAATGAAATTGAGAAATCCGATTTACCAATTTCAAATACAGCTATGCGTCGTAAGTTTTTATGATAATTTGATAGTTAGCATAAACCACAACAGTGGTTAGTTAGCATTAACCAAAATGTTTTTTTCCTAATATGTTTTTTTTATAGTGAAGTAGTCCCTAAATTTAATATGATTTTATTTTATTATTGTTGCGTGGTTTCAAGAAATATTCACCAGTCTCATTCGGATTGAGGACACCCAAAAACCCTCATGGGCATGGTGGTTGGTTAAGCAACACCAAATCTGCTGTTAATGCGCCAATGGAAGCTTTAAAATTCAGCACAACAGCAGACGAGCTGGATAGTCACCTTAATTATTGGCTGAAATTAAATGATTGTGAACGTCAGTCCCTGGTAACTTTAATTTAAAATAATTTTTATTTGAAGCTATAGTTTTAGCTAAATGTATGCAGTTAGTTTCTATTTCCAATTTAAACTAATATTGTGCCTATGTATTTAAATTAAAGATTACATCTTTGTCCAATGTCACACTTGCATCACAAAATCTCTCTGGCAAGCTTTCTAATATGTTGTTGGCCCTGGTACCCAGTTCAGTTTGGTCTTTATATAGCCAGGATGGAAAAAGAGGGAAAAGGAGTATTAGCCCAAGTAATCTTCCTATCATAATAGGTAAAAGTGATTGATTTCTATATCTATAACCTAGTCATGCTGTATTTTTTATTTATTTTGTCAAAAAAAAAATTATACTGTTGTGGTAATGTGATTTCAATAATTGTATAATTGAATATATAATTTTTTTTTACCAATTCCATTTTTTTAAAGATGTAGATATTGTTTTTAATTTTATAGATTCTCTGCAGCAAAGATCGCAAAAACGCATTAACGCCCATAAGGTGGCAGAGGCGTTCGGGGATCAATTAAAACGAATGCCAATGCATGTGAAACGCGCAACAGTCAAGGCAGAAGCCAGACTAATAGGCACACCTAGTCGGGCACCAAAGAAGGCTAATATTGCACTTGAATCTATTGGGAATGATAATTCTGACAATAACGCCTTTGATTATATTTGCAACGATGATATTTCGTTTACCAAAGACAGTGATTAGATGAAAAATGTACACAGGTTATATTAATACTATGTTATTAATTTTTTTCCTTATAATAAATTTCTAAATTAAAGGCGTTTTTCTGAACGTCATCAATAAACTTTATATGAAATAAAAAATGTATATGAGGAAGGAGGGGGGGGGAGAGGGTTGTCAGGTGCGAACGACCCCCTTTGTTTGCAAACTCTGTTTCACACAAGTTTTATATGTAAAATCTAAAAACAGTTATATTTTGCTATTCTAATCTTTTTTTTTTTCTAAAACTTTTCACGTTACGGTGAAATATATATATATTTTTCACCGTAACCTAAAATATATATATATATATATATATATATATATATATATATATATATATATATATATATATATATATATATATATGTTTAAAATATATATATATATATATATATATATATATATATATATATATATATATATATATATATATATATATATATATATATATATATATATATATATATATATATATATATATATATATATATATATATATATATATATATATATATATATATATATATATATATATATATATATATGTTTGTCAGCCTTAAACCTTTATCATTCTTTTAAAATGTATAACGGTAAGATTACGGTTACGATCGTGTGATTTTAGGATTTGTTTTATTTTTTTTTTGATTGTTACTGATTTGCTAATTTTTTTATTTTACTAGTGTTTGTTTACTGCTCACTCTAGATGAGGATTACCCTTCCAGCTAATATCTTTAGGCTTTAAGAGTATGCTGTGACAAGAATGTTATTAATAAAGAAAGAACCTTACGTCTCAGTTACGTAAAAATAACGGACATTTTGCACGTAACGTTACGTTACAATGTTACGCATCGTTACGTAAAATGTTACGTCTCGGTTACGCAAAAATAATGGACATTTTGCACGAAACGTAACGAATCTCGTTTACGTTACAATACGTAACGTAACCAAAAAAATATTTTTAATAAACTTATAACATCTACTTCAATACTCATTTCTTAAAGATAATTACATTTTATTAACAAAATTAGAAAACTATGGTATTAAATATATAAATATTGCGTGGTTTAAAAGCTATTTGTCAAATAGAAAACAATGCATTTCTTATAAAGAAGGTAAAACGACCAATATGAACATAACATGTATGGTTCCTCAGGGATCTTTATTAGAGCACTTCTATTTCTCATTTTTTATAATGAATTAACCAAAGCTTGTATTGAACTAGATATAATTTCATTTGCAGATGACACAAATCTATTTTCTGCACGTAATGATATAAATATTCTGTCTAAGTCAGTAAACAAAGAGTTATTAAATCTTACTGAATGGTTTAATGCAATTAAATTATTTTTAAATTTAACCAAAACAAAATATACTTTTTTCCATTGTTTTCATGACCGAGATAAAATTCTTTTGAAACTTCCAGAACTTTATATTGCCAATCATAACATAAAAAGAGAAACCACTTTAAAATTTCTTGGCGTGTTTCTTGATGAAAATGTGACGTGAAGAGATCACATACAATATCTTTTATTTATGTTCAAAATTAATAAAAATAATCTCCTAAAATATTTTACTCATTATTCAAAATAAATGAGAATAGATATCTAACCAGATTTTTAAATAACAGTTATATTCAACCCAAAATTTATTTTGCTGCGACTGAATTTTTAATTTCTATTAGAGGGCCAAGATTATGGAGCAAAATATTAACTAATGAACTTAAAACAATTGCTACGCTTAATGAGTTTAAGAACAAATTGAACCAAAAACTACTGATGAACGACGTAGCTATCGGCATTTTCTGAAGTTTTAATGATTGCTACTGTTAAACTTACCCAACAATTAGAGGTTTGTCATTATCGGCTTGACGATCTTAGAAAAGGATTATGCCAATTCTTATTGCTTTAATTCTTCTTTTTTTATTCTTTTTCATTTTTTCATTTTTTTTTTTAATATATATATATAAAATTATGGTTTATAAGAATTATCCACATATTTCAAGGTATATGCTGGTGTAAAAGGAAAGCTTCAGGATTATGCGTATTTGCTTGCACGTTTTTTAGTAATATAGTTTCTTTGTACTAATTCTTTTTTATTCTTTTTTTTTTTAATTTTTCTTAGCTTAAGTTAAAGTTTAAACTTTAGGATCGATGATTTTTATTTTATTAAGTCTTTAGAAAAACGTTTTATATTATATAGTGTTACGTTTTTTAATTTTTGTTGTTTTATATTTACGTTATAGACTAAAAGGCTTGATGATAAAACCAGTTATGTCTTTTTCTTGCCCCTGTTGTTTGTATTTAAATTACAATTTATGATTTTAATAAATTATGACACATGTATTCATAAATTTTCACAAATTTAAAAAAATGAAAAAAAATCTATTTTATTTCTGTTACTAAGCTTCAAACATTTTTATTTATAACCGTAACATTTACAAAGCTTCTCATTTGCTGTTGCTACAAACATGATTTTTACTAAAATAGATTTTTTGCTTAAAATTTATTTTATTTACTTATTATCTAAAGGCCGACGACAAGGGTTTTGAAGTAGGGAGAGGGGGGGGGAACAGTCGTCAATTTCTAAAAAAGTTCTCTATATCTAGAATTTTCTAAAAATAAAAAAAAGATCCTTTAGAAAAAAAGTGTGTGTATGTGTGTATGTGTGTGTGCGTGTATGTGTGTGTGTGTATGTGTGTATGTGTGTGAAAAAAAGTGTGTGTATGTGTGTATGTGTGTGTGTGTGGGGGGGGGGGGGGGAGGGGGAAGAAGGGGGGCATGTGCTTCCTGGCCCCCCCGGTGTTGTCGGCCCTGATAGTAAAGCGATTTGTATTACGTTTAAAAGTATTTGCAAAGTTATAAAATATAAGGAGGAGCTTTTTTGTTTCGAAACCTTAGCTTATGTACTTAACTATCTTATGCAATTATATAAAAAAGTCATCTTGTTAAAAACATTTAAATCTAATATTTTAAACAACTTCTTGTTTTTTTAGGTTTCAGCAAAACTCTGTTTACCATTTCGATTAAAAACTTCCGTAGTCTCTTCCACCTCTGACACAGCCCAACGCGCACGAGCAAACAATTCCAATTAGCTATATAAAGCATAACATATATATTATATTCAGTAAAACTCAAACTAATGATAAGTAAAAGCAAGATACAAATAAAATTGCAAAAAATCACTAGCATAGTTTCTACAATTGTTTGTACATACTATGAATTTGTCCAAAGGCCATCATTTTACGCGACTTACCTTATGATTAGATTTTTCGGTTATTAAAAACATAATATTGTAAACAAATGACAAAATTTTTTATTTGCTAAAAGAAAACTTTTTTATTTTTTATTATTTTAAAACTATAAATAAAACTGAAAGTTTTTCATAAGTATTTTTGTATGAATAACTTTAGTTCATCTCATTTAAATATTTAAAATACTTAAAATAAGTTTTGGTTTTAGATACGATTATTTAAAAACAAGCATAATATTTTTATAATATACATAATATATTTATAATATTTTTATAATATATATACTTAATATATATTTTTAAAATATAAATACTATAAATAATATATTTGTAACATTTTAAGAAGATCTAGTTAAATTAATTAAAAATAAAAACAATACTCTATTCATATAAATAAATTTAAAAAAAAAAAAAATCTTAAACAATTGTAAGTTGTTTTATGATCAGAGGCAAGTTCGCTGCATTGTATTTATGCAAAAATAACTCTTTTTAAAATTTTTGGGTTTGTACAATTGACAAATGTATCATTTCGGGGACCGTATCTTTGGAACAAAATTGTCTTAAATAACTTTGATTTGAAAAAAAAGTTGAAAGAAGAAGTTTTTGAAATTGACAATATACAAATGTACTTTTAAACCTTTTGAAATTCATTTTATCTATTATTTATATCGGTTTATATAATGTGTAATGTATGATTTTTCTTGATATGATTTGTAACTCAATTATTTACGATCTTCAAGCCTATATTGCTATTATACTATCTGTCCAATTATCTTTAAGAAAATTTTTGTTAACTTTTTATTTTTTTGTAGTTTTTTTAATTTAAATTTTGTTACTCTTTTATTATTGCATAACACTTTTTTATTTACTATGTAAAATATTTGACTTGTAAAAATGTAACAACGTCTTTTTACCGCGGTACTCGACAACAAGACCTTACGGTCTTCTACGAGTTTCCGCGTTCTTTTTATACATATATATTAAATATCTTCACTTGTAATTGTTTATATTTTTTTATTTTAGCTTGTAAATTTTATAAAATATTAACGTCATGTTTTAAAATGTAATAAAGAACAAAAAAAAAAAATGTTAAAAAGAGCAACCGTGGCGCAGTGGTAGCGCACTTGCCTCAGAAATGTAAGATCCGTGGTTCAAATTCCCACCTCTGGGCAAGTATTGCGATATTGGTAAGGTAGTAGGCGTGAACTTCCTATTAAATGCTCTTCCGCGGTGCTCTGTTATAAGACTTTAAGGACTTCTTGGGGCATCTAAAAAAAAATAAATAAATGCTCTACAACTGATCAACATCAGACCTGCAACTAGTACAGCATTAAAATTCCATGTAACTATAAGTTGAAATAACTTCTTCTCAAACTCTGTTTTCACACCTTTTGATATTTTCAACATGGCACTTGCTAATTTTTACTCAAAGCTTCCCTGAAGTCTTATGTAAAACTGTTCTTTAAACTTCCCTGAAGTCTGATGTAAAACTGTTCTTTAAACTTCCCTGAAGTCTTGTGTAAAACTGTTCTTTAAATTCTTGTGTTGCTTTAATTGTTTAACTCTTTAATTGCTTTTTTAATTGATTTTTAGCCTCATTGTATCGACATGTTGACGCTGTAAATTATTTGCCAAACTGTCTTTTGGTAAAGCGTCACGGTATTGACGTCACATTATGTTTTTAAATTTTAAAGTTGGGGAAAAGGGTACTTGAATAAACTGTTGATAGGGATGGTAAAAGCAGTCTTAGATAAAGATGTAGTTACGGATACAGGAATTTTCGGTGGGAGAAGGAGGGAAGAGGGGATGTTGAAATATTTTTGCATTTTGTATCACATTTGTCTCATAAAAAAAAAAGATCTCTATTTCGAAAATATTTTATAAATTTTAGGTACTTGTGGAGAAGGGGAAATGCATGCCCTCATCCTCCCTGAATCCGTCACAGTAATGGTGAAAGTGTGTTTTTAAATGGTAAATAAAATGTTTTTGTGATTTTTATTTTTTAATGATAAGTTCTGCTAATATAAAGTGAAAAAAAAAATAGTGCTTTCAGGTTTTGCAATTATTTTAATTGTTTAAATGCTTCACCTCAAAAGTTTTTTGCCGTTGTCGTTTAATGAAGCTTTTTTTTAAATAAAATCTTTATCTCCATAAAATTTTGTAAGTAATTTGCATCAAACTCATTTAATTTGACAAAAAATACCTGCCATTAACAGTTAAGTAGGTGAGACAAATAAACCGGAAAACATATCAGTCTGATGTTATTTTCAACATTCACTGACAATAATATCAGCCTGATATTATTGTCATAGCAAAGCAGCATAGAAAATTTTTTTTAGCGTCGAGGTCCAGGAGCAAAAAGACTTTTAAACGAAAGAGTTATTTGTTTAACTGATTGAAATGAATCACTTGAATTTTTGGTATGAACGTTTTGGTGAATTATTAAATTAATTACTTCACTTCTATTTAAACTTGGGTGTTCTAAACATGGTGTTTGGTAGTCCCCCTAGACATCTGACTTTGTATAGACGCAAGATTGATTTTTAGACTGATTACATAATAATGATTACAAAATGGTATTAGCGGCGATAGCACCGTTAACAACTTTGTAATCAGCACTTTCAATGTTGCTAACTAATTTTATAAAACGTTTTGCAATACGTCTGCTTATTAAACTTTGCTGTACATGAAATTAAAAATATGAAATATTTTATGATTTATGTAAACAGAAAAGAGCTCAATAGAGATACGAATGACAAGAACCACTACGTTCTTTTCAATGAGCCTCTTTGTAGACCTTACCAAGTACAAATTAAGATAAAATTGATAAAAATAATTTATTATAGTATGATATTACATTATCTCCATCAGATATAAAGAATAAAAGGCAATAATAAAACCATATCTTTTATATATACATATAAAAAAAAAGTTTTATAGTGTATATACTAAATTTCAAAGCTTTTATAAAGTTTAAAGTTTCCCTTTTTATATGAAACTTGAATTTACTAATTTTGTCACAATGAAGAACTATATCGAAGTATATGTACCATACGAAAGTTCCATATCATGATATGGAGCAGCTTATAATACCATATTGAAAACAATAACATATTGAAGTTTCATATTGAGGTATTGAATAGCTTATGGCTTTCTATGTGTTATTTTTACTTTAATTAACTGAATTTTTTCCAAAAATCCACAAACTGCACGGTTCATAAAGTACGTACGCAGTTATTGGCGATGGGAGGGGGTTACCCAAAAGCGTTCGAATGCTTACTGGGGAGTGTGTGTTATAGACATTGAGTACGTAAGTGGTTTGACTCTCTCTCGTTTTCTGTTTCTCCTAAAACTTGACTTTTTTACAACGTTTTGGTCTACGTGAAACGTCAAAATAAAGATTTTTTAGTACGTACCTTTAGTATGTACCTTAAAAAGTGTTGGTTCATTTACTTTTCTTTTTTTTTAGTAAAAGTATTGAATTTACAAATTTAAAAAACAATTTTATGTTACGTTATGTTACAATGTTATGTTTTATTTTGTTTTTAATGTTTTAAAAAAGTTATGGTTGGAGAAGGAGGGTGTTAATTCTTTATTAAATTATGCTTACGTACGCAGATTCGGAGGGGATTGTTTGAAACACATGGCGACGGGGCTCTTAAATCAGTAGTTTTACTGCGTACGTACTTTATGGATGCCCCCAAACTTTAATGCCAATTTCATCCTGGTATACCATTTTGTGTATACAGATAACTTAGTTTGATGACACCAAACAACTCCAATTTGCGATTATATTTGCAAACGTACATCTAAGTTGACTAAATTGATAACATTAACAACAACAATAAAACAAGATAATTATTTACCTCAAAATTTACAACTATCAAAATACAGTAATATATTAATAGTAATAATTGTTATAATAATAATAAGAATATCGATAATATTATAAATAATAAAACCAAAATATCATTATTAAAAATAAATATAAATAAATGATTAAAAAGAAAGGAGTCACTCAGTCACAAGCAGAAACCTGATCAAAGGAGTGACACCAAATAGTTATATAAATAATATTAATTTAAAAAAAATAATAAGAATAATAACTTTATTCATTAATAGAGCAAAAGTAACAGCAAAAGTAATAGTTTTTACTACAATTATAATAATAATAGTAATAATAAAAATAGCAGTAATGAAAAAAAAAAATAATAATAACAAAAACAATAAAGTTTCTATATAAATAGTAAGAAGAAAAATAAGAAAACTAAAAAATAAAAATATTGAAAAAAAATTTTTAAATTTGTTTAAAGTTATTTTGTTTTAAATAATGAAATAAAGATAAATTATTTTGAAGTTTTTATTTTTCAAACTCATTCACAATGTAAAAAAGAGTTCAATTCCATTCACTGATGCACTAATGTGTAACTGAATACTTAGCATAACTTAAAGTTTTATCGGTTGTTTCATGTTTCAGTAAAAAAGATTGCCATAGAGGAGGGTAAGGGAGTCAAAAACAAAAAGTAGCTAAGCAAACCTAACTAGTGCTGACAAGGTAAGAATTTCGAGTTTTTTTAAAGAAGTGTGATGCTTCAGTATTATGGAGTTTAAAATTTATTACTCGGATTGATTGGCGCTGATAACAGTTTATTAATATTACAGTTACCAATTTGTCCCCAAACCTGACAGCAGTAGTTGAGATGAGACTGAAAAATTGCAAAATACAGATTCTTAAGGTTAGTTTATCAACATAATGGCAAATTATTGAAAGCATGCTATTAGCTTTATTAAGTTTTTTACAGAGTCCATCTATATATAAAAATTCCATGATAAGTTTGAATCTATAAGCATACCTAGGTATTTAATAACGTGTGTTGGATATAACTATATATCATTAATTTTAATGATTGTTCTATAAAAGTTTTTGTCTTGGAGATGAAAAAAATATCAGTTCAGTTTTTTACAAGTTCAGAGAAAATAGGTTGGCATTTAGCCAATGAACTAAACCTTTTAGATCTAAGTTTATATTCTTAGACAAGGAATGATGAGACTTATTATTATGCAAGATATTAGTATCATCAGCAAATAAATGGACTGATGAGAAGTGGAGTTATTTAGATCAATAATATAAATCAAAAACAACAAAAAGCCAGGAACAGAACACAGGGGAACACCACAAACTATATGTTTGTTATTTGATTTGGAACCATTAATGCTACCAAACTACTTCCAATTTGAAAGATAACATTGAAAACTATAAAACTCCTCGGATTCCGCAATGTTAAAGTTTAGAAATTAAAATGGCATGATTAACAGTATCAAACGCTTTTTGTAGGTCGATAAAAACACCACCAACGGATTGACCAGTATTTAGTGCCTTTTTTATTTTTTCGGTTATACTTATTAAAGCGTGACAAGTAGAGTGTTTTGATCGAAATTCAAGCTGAAAACCATTTAAACAGTTAAAGGAACTCTAAAATGAGTATAATCTAGCATACAGGTTTTTAAGAAACTTGGCAATGTTAGGTAGAAATTGAAATTGGTCAATAATTAGTTCATGAGAGTTTTGAGCCATTTTTATGTACTGGAATGACACAAGATAACTTCAAAATGTCAGGAAAAGTTGCATTTAGGAAGAAGATATTAAATAGTTTGGAGAGAATATGAGAAAATTCAGAAAATAAAGTCAATTAAAATGTTTGTAGGGATGCTATTAGAGCCTATTGATTTTCTAGGTTTTAATTTAGATTTAAGTGATGATTGTTGTTGTTGTTGATTGGTTTGTTGGATCAGTAAACTATAAAGATTTAAATAATTAAGATTTTATAGCTAACTTTAAATAGTTAAAATTTTATAGCTAACTTTATATACTTTTATATACTTTTTATACTTTTTATAGCTAATGTAAGATGAAATTTTTTTCGAACTACATTTGTGAAAAAGTTGTTCTAATCGCAGATTAGAGTTGGTTCAGTTATGTATGTTTCGTTTCGTTTCAAGGTATATTATTGACATTTTTAACATTTATTAGACTTTTTATGCCTTTCTAGGTTTCACGAAGATTTTTTACATTTTCTGAAAAAAAATTTTTGAAATGTATTTTTTTACTCAGTTTTATTAGATTAATTATGGTATATTTATAGCGTTTAAAGATTTTAGTTTAATTATGTTTGTTGGATCTTTTATCCTTAACAGATTCTCTTGAACAAGATTTCGAATTTGAATTAATTTTATTATTCCTTTAGTATTCTATGACTTGAATTGACGCTTATAGCTCATAATACTAATTTTTTTGAGTGGCACATGACAATCTAACAACAATGTTATTTGATAAATAAATGCTTCATAACTGAAATTAAAATTGATTTTATTAGTAATGCCATATCAATCAGATTGAAATGATTCTTTTCTTATAATTTTTAAAGTTCGTTCAGTAAAAACTTTACACCAACACACAGTGGGCCAGGTGGTGGACAAAACTAAAAAAAATACATTATTAAAAATTACATCAGGGTTAGGGTTATAGCTTAACCATTCAACTTTTCAAAAATGTATATATTTTTGTAAATAGTTTAGCAACACTCACTTTAAAAATTTATTTGTTATAACTCTAACCCTAGTTTATGTTTTATAATAGATATGTAAAAAATCTAAATTAAAGTAAGATAGAATCGGAAAAACTGGCAGCTTTCATGTTTTGTACATTTTAGTTTATGGTCTAATTGAGATTAATCAATTGAGAAAAATCAATTAATCCAAACTCATGTTTGGATTAATTGATTTTTCTAAAAAATAATTAAAACTGCTGGTGCCTAATGCCTAGTTTAAAATTTCATCTTTGCATCACTTTCATAACTGCATATCCAAGGTTGATTCTTTCTATTTATAGATACTATATCTTTTTTTACTCGTACTCTTCTTCAATTCATAAGTCTTATTGATTTTGATTGGCTGATTAGATAAAGATTATATAAAACTAGTTGTATCAAAAATATTATCTCGTGACTCACTGCAGTAGAAGCTTTTTGTTATTTAAGCCCATTAATTGTCTTTATTGTGTCATTAAATTTTGGTAATATTTTTTGTTGAGCTCTTTTTTTTTTTACCATTCATTTTAATAATTTTTGCATAGATGTTTTTCAGCAATAACTATGTGTTTTATATTCAGTTTTTTATTGAGTGTATATCTAAGTTATAACAACTTTAGTTTCAAACACTGAATTGTACCACTGTTCAGCAAAAGCAACCATTAATGAGTCAAGCCCATTTGGTCGTTTTAGAATCGACTACTAAGAGATTTAGGAAATAATAGAACTAATAGAGAATTGTGAAAGTTTCTCCATTAAAATAGTTAGAAAAATAGAAAAAATGCTAATAGTGTTTACTCTGTATATTAGGCGACAATTATTATTATTAGATTTAAAATAACACCTATCAAAATCTTAAACATTATTAAAATATTAGTTGCTAGACTCCTAGACTAAAAAAATATTAGCATGTGCTTTTAATTGTTGCAAAGCTCTGTTGCTATGTTTTGCCGTTATTATAAAGCAATTCATTACATTTATAAGATACAATTTTAATTTATAATACTGATTTATTTTGAATGAAATTTATATTCTTTAAGTATAAGTTTTAAAGCGTAAACAAAAGAATTACCTGCATAACCGAAAGACCAAAAACAACTCCGCCAGCAATAACTATATTTTGTTTAATAAAATCATAAAACTTTAACTTGCACCCATCGGTAAAAAGAGTTTTTTGGCAATTCATCTTTCGATGGCATGATGGAAGACCATTATTATATCCACATGTCAACTTTGAACCTGTAGCATTGTTAAAGTCAGAAGGTCCTAAATATCCGCAGCAACTGAACTTTTCATGAGCCCAATCGAGAAAATCTCTTGATGAAGAACTATTATCAAAAACATCTTCTACAGCAATTTTTAATCTTTTATCAACATAAGCTTCAACCTAAAAATAAAAGCTCAAGATAAAGTTTTATGAGAAACAAAAAGTGACTCTTACTGGTATAATTTTCTTGGTGTCTAAAAAAAAAATCTTTTTTCAGACGATTTTGCGTGTATTTCTATGCATAATAAAGAAAAAAACCTTTTTGACGATTGACTTTTTTATTATTTCGCGTTTAAACTGTGTTTTTTTGCTAAATATAAATGTTTTTTTTCTTCCATTGTCAACTATGTTTGTATCAGCATTTTTTTTAACTCTGATTTAATAAAAAGTTTTTGTTTTTAAAAATATTAAAAAATATTCAGTTACATACTCTTTCATTCACTAGGATTTTAGTAACATACTCTTCCATTCACTAGGATTTTAGTTACATGCTCTTCCATTCACTAGGATTTCAGTTACATACTCTTCCATTCACTAGGATTTCAGTTACATACTCTTCCATTCACTAGGATTTCAGTTACATACTTTTCCATTCGCTAGGATTTCAGTTACATACTCTTCCATTCACTAGGATTTCAAGCTGGTATATGATGTTAGAAGAGAATGCTAATGTATTTTAGTAACAAGAAAACCAAGCGCGTCTAGATATTAACTGTTGTGCGTGATTTCTAGTTAAATCAAGATTATTTATTTAACTAGAAATCACGCAACAGTAGCCATAAATGCGCCTGCCGACACAATATTTTAGAAAGAGTTTTATTTCCTGCTTGCTCAACGATATTTAAAGAAATATAAGCAATTTGAGTTTGTTTAAGAGCTAATATTCTCAATTTATATCAATTCTTTTTTTTTATTTTTCATATAAATAAGTTTTTACTTTTATGACAAATTTTAAAACAACAGACAAAGTCTTTGGTTTTGATTAAAAAAAATTGTAGTTAAAAACATTCAATTATTTTCAATTATTATTTTATAAGACATATTACAGCTTTATTTAGTTTGTGATATTTCTATACATTTACTACTTTATTCTAATTGGTTATTATGGCTATATTGGTTATCTTATGATCCTTTTTCTTTTCTTTACTTGACACACCTATCTTTTCATAACTATAACCTTTCTATTAACTCCCAACCCGAATAATGTCAGAAAGGAACAACCGCAAGGAACAACCACAGTTTGAATTTTTTTTTCTTCCTTTTTTTAATGATTAATTTAAGTGCCCTAAGAAGTCCTTACGGTCTTATCACAGAGCACCACGGAAGAGCATTTGACAGGAAGTTCACGCCTGCTTTCTTACCAATGTTATTTAAGTTGCCCAGAGGTGGGCTTGAACCATGGATCTAGAGTTTCTGAGGCAAACGCGCAAGCCACTGCGCTACAGCTGCTTTGGAAGTTAAAAGCGTTAAACTTTTGAGTTGAAATTAAAAGCGTTAAAGAGCAAGAATATGGTTGAAAAACTGCAAAAAACTGCGTATTATATGTGTCTGAAAGACACAAAAACAAGAGAGAAATCAACGACGTTTAAATAAAAAAACTGCGTATTATATGTGTCAGAAAGACACAAAAACAAGAGAGAAATCAACGACGTTTAAATAAAAAAACTGCGTATTATATGTGTCAGAAAGACACAAAAACAAGAGAGAAATCAACGACGTTTAAATAAAAAAACTGCGTATTATATGTGTCTGAAAGACACAAAAACAAGAGAGAAATCAACGACGTTTAAATAAAAAAACTGCGTATTATATGTGTCAGAAAGACACAAAAACAAGAGAAAAATCAACGACGTTTAAATAAAAAAACTGCGTATTATATGTGTCAGAAAGACACAAAAACAAGAGAGAAATCAACGACGTTTAAACAAAAAAACTGCGTATTATATGTGTCAGAAAGACACAAAAACAAGAGAGAAATCAACGACGTTTAAATAAAAAAACTGCGTATTATATGTGCCAGAAAGACACAAAAACAAGAGAGAAATCAACGACGTTTAATAAAAAAACTGTGTATTATATGTGTCAGAAAGACACAAAAACAAGTGAGAAATCAACGACGTTTAAATAAAAAAAAACTTTATAAGTTCAAGCTTGTGAGTATGATTGGAACAGGTATAGTAAAAAGAACAGAACAAGAAACGGGTACAGTGAAAAGATGCAAATTTGCTAAAAAACGAATTATATGAGTTTTGGTACACAAAACAAATGATGGTAGTTTGCTGGAGCAGCAACCATGATTGCGTTTTTATTAAAGAAAAAGGTATGTAACCTTACAACAATTAGACTTGAGCTGGTCCAACAACATTTACAATGCATTTTATACCATGTCTAAAAGAGTGAGCCTTATAAGAAGAATTAACCCAAATAAGACAAAAGTTTTCCATAAAAAGACAAAAATAGTCAAAGTTCCATAAAAAGACAAAGCGGTCATGCTATCAGCAAATAGAGCTACTTTAGAATTCAGGCTATCAGAAATACTATCATTATAATAATCTTTCTGATAGCCTGAGAAGAAAGAAGTAACATTGTTAGATAAGGACAGAGGTAAATAGAGTCAACCTCTATTTTCCTCTGTCTTATATACGTTTTCTTTACAAATAAAAGAAGATGCTGACAAATAAAAGATGATGCTGACAAAGATCTTGTATCTGAAAAAGGTTACCCTTCAGTTTTATTCTTTAAAAAAAATATTTGATTATATATTTACAAAAAGTTTTTTTTTTTTTTAGATACCTTAAGTTTAATACATTCTATTAAATAACACATTATATCCTTAATTTAAAACAATATTCTAAAAATGAAATGTTTTTAAAACCCTAATTACTAATTAGGGCTTTAAAAATGTTCAATGTAATTGAAATACTATACCTTTTTGCGTTTAAGTAATACAATTTTTACTTTAATTTCGAACTTTTTCATTTTAATTTGGCAATTTTCACTATAATGTGTATAGTGAATATTGCCAAGTTTTAAAATGAAAAAATACTAAATTAAAGTGAAAATTGGCCAACTTAAACGCAAAAAGGTGTAGTTAGTAAATTTTAGTAACTAAATTACTAATTGGGGCTCTTATTTAATTAGTAGTTATATAAAAGATTTGTGAAATATATATATAACAGTAAAATAGTTTTTAATAATTTCGAAGTTAAAAAAAAATGTTTAAATAAATACATAAACTAATATTATAAGTTTATGTACTTAACTTTGTGACGCAAAATTTTTCAGATTAAATTACACTAAAGGCTCTTTTAAAGAACATTAAATGTTGTACTTGGAAAATTGCAAAAATTCTTTTTTAAAAAAATATTACAAAAGTGTTGGGATTTAAATTTTTACGAGATTTTATGTTATGAAAATATTTATCAAAATTTATAGTTGTAAAATAATTTAAAATTATGTAAGGCTATATAAATTACAATGCAGATTTATCCCACGAACACGTGCCGGTAGGCCACGGAGTTCAAGGAGCCAGAGCATCTAAGTGAACTCTTGAAACATGTATAATTTGAAAGAAAAATTATTATCGACCACAATCCTTAACTTCATGTCCCAAAGATTTTTGGGACATGAAAGGAAGTTAAGGATTTCATGTAACAAAGATTCGTTTTAAAAAAAACTGGACATTTTTTTTAAAACGAATTGAAAGAACTTTCGAGTTCGAAGATAATGATGAAAATAGAAACAAATTTAATGAATAAATCAAGCAAATACTAAAACAACAAATAGTCGCTAAAAAAAATTAATAAAGGAAAGGATAAGATGAAAAAACAATAACGTAGCGAAATCAAAAAAGACACAGAATAGAAATTAAAAATAATTAAAAAAAAAGATGAAAAATAATTAAACCAACGATATAAAAATATAATTGAAAAATATTTTCAAGAATGGAATGCATTTTGATGATTAAGAATGGAATTTGTATTTAAAATGGACTGCGCTTTGATGAGTCTTGAATTAATGTTTTTTTTAAATCTTATTTGTGTATAGTATTTTAAAAAATTACTTGCATTTGTCAGCTAAGAATATCCTAAGATATTTGTGAAGTGTTTGTCGACGTTATTTTTATTTTACTTCGTAGGAGTGCCGCGGAATCCAACGGAACTACTATTAATTTCTTTAGCTTTTTATAAGAAATTTATAATTTCTTTTCTGCATTAACGCATCGATGAGATGTTTTGAAGTCAAAGATCCCTGCTGGAATATGTGTTAAAGTTCCCAAGACTCTCTCATAATCTCGTCAGCTCGTCAGTTGGTCAGCTCATCAATTAGTCAGCTCGTGCTAATGCTTGTTTAGCCATTGAAAAAAATCTATTTACAAGGTGATTAGGAAATATTAAGAAAATCAAATAAAAACATAATTCATTTGTGATTGTGCATACTTATTAATAAATATTTTCTATATTTTTAATCTCTTCTTGATCCTAAAGAACAAGAACAGAGGTTTTCGGATTTTTGATCAAAATGGAACAACTTGAGACAGCTATTTTAATAATCATTTGGAACAGAAGCATGGA